TATTTTTATTTTTTTAATTCGCCCAAATTGCATTAATATATATATATATATATATATATATATATATATATATATATATATATATATATATATATATATATATATATATATATATATATATATATTAGTTTTTCGTTTTACCTCAAAAAAACACAACAGTCTGTTTCATCCGTATAGGAATCATCAGGTGGTGAATAATTTCGAAATTGTAGGTTGCTTTTATGCTATCGAAAGAATGTGCGGAATGTGTGTAGGCGAAACAATGCTTAGGTGAAACAATGCATGCTTGGGTCATTAGGTTTTGTTAACGATGAAACAGACTGTTGTGGTTTTTTGAGGTAAAACGAAAAACTATATATATATATATATATATATATATATATATATATATATATATATATATATATATATATATATATATATATATATATATATATATATATATATATATATATATATATATATATATATATATATATACTCTACACTGCTGAAAGACAACCCTTTGTCGTTGATAATTGCATTCTAATTGAAAAATATTGAGTATTATTTTTATATTATTTAAAAATTTAAAAAGGTAGCTTTTCGTAAAAACTAGAAAATAAAGCTAATTACGCCAACGCTTTTCATTGCACTGAAACACGTTGGTCAAACAAGGGGGAATTTCGTTCTCGACCAATCAGCGCTTTTGTTTACATTTTTGCCCTAAGCCAATCAGAATGCGTAAAACGCTTCATCACATGAAATTTGTAAACAAACATATGGGGTTACTTCAGAGCTTTTCTGCAAGCGGTTTTTTGGGTTTTTGCCATGAAATTCATATATGTTGTTCTTAAAAGAATTCTCCTCAACTTCCTCGTGGCGATTTTTGATTAATTGCGTGATTGCGAAGATATGGGTCTTCAAACTTTGCCTTGCGCAAGCTTAAATACCACCCCTCGAATTTGTAGGTTCCGAACGGATTAACGTTTTTAAAAGCCTTTCAAATCGAGGTTTGAGAGGTTTTATTTTTTAAAAGATACTTTTATCTTCATATTTTCACATTAACTTATTAATATCCTGTGTAACAAGTAAACAGGACACTTCCGGGCCGGCACAAGTTGACATGTCGATTTCTTGCTAAACAGCGTGGCGATCAATATGGCGAATATCTAAATACAGGGAATTTTTAAAATTTTGTTGGTATAAATGGGCTAAAGAAACTCATCAAATATTTGGACTATGGACCTTCAAACTTATGCCAAGTATTTATTTGAT